TTTACTCATGTAGTCTTTGAGGTTCTTGAATGCCTCAGCACATTCATCAGTCTATGTAATGTACTTCTTACTTCCTTTAAGTGCTTTGAAGAAATGAGCACATATGTCTGTGGCCTTAGAGATGAACCTAGTTAAGGCTGCCACCTTGCCAGTAAGGCTCTGGATGTCTTTTGAAGTTACCGGTTCCTTCATGTCAAGGATTGCTTTAATCTTCTCGGGATTAGCCTCAATGCTTCGTTGGCTTATCATGAAGCCTAAGAATTTGCCAGAGCCTATGCCGAAGGCACATTTGTTGGGGTTCAACCTCATTCGATACCTCTTCAGAATGGTGAAAGTTTCAGATAGGTTGGTGATGTGTTGGTCAGCTTGTTTGCTCTTGACTAGCATATCATCAACGTAAACTTTCATGCTCTTCCTAATTTGTTCGGCGAACATTAAATTGACCAGTCTCTGATAAGTCGCTCTTGCATTCTTTAGGCCGAAGGGCATAACTTTATAGCAATATAGTCCCTTGTCAGTAGTGAAAGTTGTGTGTTCTTGGTCCGGATGGTTCATGAGGATTTGGTTGTATCCTGAGTAAGCATCCATGAAGCTCAAGAGTTCATACCCTACAGTAGAGTCTATAAGTTTGTCTATGAGAGGAAGAGGAAAGATATCCTTCAGGCATCCTTTGTTTAGGTCGGTGTAATCGACACACATTCTCCACAAGACCTTTTGGAGCAGGAGACTTCCCTGGTCGGATTCTTCTTAACAAGGACAACATTTGCTACCCATGTTGGATAATTGACTTCGCGGACGAAGCCTATGCCTTTGAGTTTTTCAACTTCTGCCTTCATTGCCTCGTACCGTTCAGCGTAATAAGATCTTCGTTTCTATCTCACTAGTTTGGTCTTGGGGTCCATACTTAAGCGATGACAAATGATATCGGAAGAGATACCTAGCATGTCTTCGTATGACCAGGCGAAGACCTCAGTGTTCTTTTGCAAAAAAGAGATCAATGCCAACCGAATGGGTGGTGACAAGATGGTGCCAATCTTCACCATGCGATCCGGATAATCTTTTGAGATAGATACCTTCTCCAACTCTTTAGTGGGTTATGCTTGCTGGGTGAAAGAGTCATCTCGAGGATCGTCGGGTTAACTGTTGCCACCGTAAAAATCCAAGTTGGCTTCATCTGGGCTGGTCTTTATGACTTGGTCATGTATATAAAGGGTTTCCTTGGGCACAGACAGGTGCTGTTGCTTGACCGAAGTGTTGTAACATGATCGTGCACTAAGTTAATCTCCTCTGATGTAACCATTGCCATAGGGGGTTAGAAATTTCATCAACAACATATGTATGGATACATGGCCTTGAGATCATTGATGCCTGTGCGTTCGAAGATGACATTGTATGTCGTTGGGCAATCAACCACCAGGAAGTTAGTGGTAATGGTAGCTGTGTAAGGGCCTGTACCAATGGTGCAAGGTAAGTGTATGCTCCCCAAAGGTTGCACGATATCATCGGAGAAACTTATCAGAGGGGAAATCGAGCGATCGAGCAAGTGTTCAGTTACATTAAGTGCCCTGAAAGCTTCAGCAAACATGATATTGACCGAAGCCCCCGTGTCTACCAAGATTCGTCGTACTTCAAAGTTGGCTATGTGAGCTTCCACGATCAGTGGATCGTTGTGAGGGTAGATGATACCTCTTTCTTCCTCAGGGTAGAAACATATTGGATCCCAATTAGGCTTTTGATACTTACCTCCCTTGATGTCTTCCACGTGAAACACTTGGTGGCCAAACCTTAAAGCTCGTTCACTATTTTTCATGGCCCTGTTGAAAGATTTAAATATGGGTGTGCCACCACTTATGGAATATATCACATTCACCTGGCGTTGGTTACGGTTACCCCTTGGAGGGTGAATGAGGAATTGATCAATTTTTCCTTCACGTGCCAAAGCTTCAATATGATCACAAAGGGTGATACATTTCTCACCGTCATGGCCGTTATGCTCGTGGTAGTAGCAAAACGTGCCTGTGTTCTTCGTGGGTTTGTAATCCGGGTGCCTCGGCTTTGGCTTCGATATCAAGTGTGCTATGCTGGGGTAAATGGCCACGCATGTGGCATTCAAAGGTGTGTATGCCTCATACCTCGGGGTAGGGGCTGTCCTGACACGTGCTTGACCCACTATGTTAACTGCTTGGGGTTGGGGATTATCATGGCGATACCCTTGGTTATCACAGTAGTGTCTCTTACTCCTTTTACTAAAATGAAACTGGTGAGGATGGAAATCTTTCCTTTTGCCCTGAGATTGATATGTCTGTTGACTTGGCAAAGTATTAAGTAAGGCAGGGGGAGGCACCGTTGCCGTTTAGAATATTGAGGTCTTCTCATTTGGTTGGATCTAGCTTCCACTCCCTACTTGCTGATAAGGGGTGGCTGTTGGGGGTTTCCCTTGATATGTCCTTACCTCGGCCGAGGCATGGTTGTAAGCCTGTGCCATCATCTCAGAGTAAGTCTTCCAAGTGTTGGCATTGATCATGTACTTGAAGAAACAGTCACGTAGGCCTGCCGTGAAGGCTTTGAAGGCAGTCTTGTCGTCTGCCTCGGCACAACGGGAATACTCATGGCTGAAGCGGCCAGCATACATACGTAATGACTTGTTTAGCTTCTGGCGAATAGTGTACAAGTCATCCGCAGAGTGCAAGCGATCGGTCTGGAAAATGTGTTGAGAAACAAACAGTTTCCTCAATTCCTCAAATGAGTCTACCGTCTCAGGTGGAAGATGGCAATACCAGTTTAGAGCTCCACCAACGAGGGTAGAGGGGAAGAAAAGACATTGCTCTTCGTCGGTGTGCATCCGATATGCCATGGTGGACTTAAAAAGGTTAAGGTGTTCAATCGGGTCCTCCTTTCTAGTATAGAGTTGCAAACCAAGCTTCTGCTTTGTCTTTGCTTTAGGGGGGTGTCGAGGATTCTCCCTGTAAGAGGACCAGGCCTAGGTTGGTTCCAATCAGGTATCTCAGCTTGTCGTTCGGCCTTCAACTTGTTTACTTCCTTAAGAAGTTGTAAAACAAGAGGGTCCTGAGTGGAGTCATGTACCACTGGAGCTTTCTTTCGAAAATCTCCATCTCCTCTTTGAAGTATGAAGGTTTGATCAAGAGCATGTGATTTTTCCCTGGATTCGCCGTACTGACTTCCAATATATGTCTGTCAGAACATCTTTGAGTCCCCTATACCTTTGTGTTTCTCTAGGACTTGTTGCCCCTTCCCCAAATTAGTAGCCGGCATGGGACTTGGCTGGGACTTGGAAGGGGACCGAGTCTTTTAGAGACCCTTGGGTCATTGATCTTCAAGCTTACATGGATGGGATTGTCTCAATGTTGCTTTAGGAAATCTCGATAGTCACGAAAGACGACTTTCGATCCTTCCACTTTTTCTGTAAGGAGGTGTTTTCCTCCACTTCTCCTACTTCGAGTCGAATCAGCTGGGTTGAGAGAAGTCTCATATTGATCAATATTTTGATGATTAGCTCGCTCCTCATCAGGGATACCCATGTCAAAGGAAGGTGACCCTCCGTGTTGGGGGGCACCCAGATGATGGTTGATGTCAACAAGGGTAACGAGCTCACGTGTTTGAGTACTCCTAGTTTTGTGGAGCGTCTCAAAGAGCTTCTCATACTGCTCCTGAAGGACCTCATTCTTCATTGCTATCTTGTTGTTCTGAGCTTCTAGCTCATCGACTTTAGCTTGAAGAGCAACCCTCTTTCCTTCCTTCTTTCGTTGCCTCGCACCAAGTGCAAGAGGGGTGTCATTCTGCGTGCTGTGGCTTCCTTCGCTTCCCATGTTGGAGAGGGATGCATGGTCAAAAGAGAGTGTACGAATGGTGGAAACCAGCTTAACAAAGCTGAAGAAAGTGGGAATAACTGTCGTTCCCACAGATGGCGCCAAATGTTGATGCACAAAATCAATGGGGACTTTGGTACAACATAAAGTGTTAAGTTTGTGACCTTCGCTAGATTGCTCCGGTCACTAGTGTGGATAAGTATGTAAATGGATAGGGACAGGGAAGCAAACACAAGATGTACGTGGTTCACCCAAATTGGCTACGTCCATGGAGTAGAGGAGTTCTCATTAATTGTGAAGGGTTTACACAAGCACATAGGTTCAAGCTCTCCTTTAGTGAGTACTAGTGAATGATTTAGTACAAATAACATTAGGCAATATTGTGAGAGAATGATCATTATTTATAGAAGAAAGTTTCTAGTTTCATTCTGACATTGACACATGTCGTGTTGTGATTGGCTTCTGATGTTGACACGTGTCGCGCTATGATTGGCTTCTGATGTCGACACGTGTCGCGCTGTGATTGGCCTCCTGGTTCGAGGGAAACTCTTCTGGGTCCTTGACGGTATAACGTTGACCGGTGCTCAGTAGTTTCAGGATTGGTCAAGTATGGTACAAACAAATTTAATTACAAATTGTAAATCCCATTTCATGTCAAGTAAGAAAAATAAAGGAAAAACAAGAGGAGTTAGAATTAAGGATTAATGCTCCATATTTTGTCAAGTTTAAAAACCAAATCTAATTGTTGTAAATGGATGTGTGAATGCCTATTGTAATAAGCAACTAAGTATGATCAAACATTTACAACATCGTTAAAGAGAGTCGGTTTGGTAGGTTTGTGAGACATTTTGCCTATAAAAGATTGAAGCATAAACGAAAGAAGAGAAGTGAGAAACATATGGAGGAAAGGAAAGAAAAGTGGGAAGGAAGAGAGAAAAGAAAGAAGAGAGAAATAAAGGAAAGAAAGTAAGAGATGCAAACGAAAATACCAATGAGCTAGGCTAGAGAGAAGAGAGAAAATAATGAGAGTTATTTTGTAATCCTATTATCTTGTTCCGAAGACATAGGCACACTTGCCGAATCTCGTAAATATTATATTTTATTTATTTTATGTTCTACTGCACGCATATTCTGAATTTCACGAGATTAATGAATTTTTTGAGTTAGAAGGTCCAAAATTACAATTGATTCGTAGTGTTCTGTCATCCGTCGCCGCCTTTATTATTTTATTCGAGTCCTTCCCAACTCCCTCTTCGGACTTTTAACGAACACCTCATCTGCTCTGTGCATAATTTCTCAACCTCTATTTGTATCAATGCTGAGGGCTTTTCCTGCCCTTTTCCGCCTACCCATTCCCTCTTTCCCCATAAGTAATAAGACCACGTAACGTCAATGCCTAACTTTTACCTTCTCCTCCTTTTTCTTCTTCTTCATCTTCTTTTTGTATTCTTTTTCCTGACTAATTTGTAATTTTATTGGGTGCTTTTCGCAGAAGTGCTTTTAGCAGAATGAGCTCAACCCCATCACCAAAATGCCCAAAATTTATTCCTGTGGAAGAGAGTAAGATCTGCTCAATAAGCAAAGCTGATGGTAATCCCTTTTACCCTTTGTTTTCATTTCATTATTTTGTATTTGTTTTGGGCATTGACTTTTTGGACATTGTTTTATAGGGTTCGTAAAAAATTACTGTAAGCTTCTCTATATGATTGTGATTTTGCAGGTATCAGGTTTAGTCTTGTGTCATATAACATTTTGGCTCAGGTATGACTATCACACTTAATTTTCTGACAATTTCCGATTTCGTGCTTAATTGACCGTGTTTTAGTTTTTGCCTTTTGGGGTTTATTATATGCATCGGTATTCGATTATCGCTTTGTATCCACAAAGAAGTCTATGAAATAATAATGAACTTTTATTTAACTCAATAAAAATTACATGTTACAACTGAATTCAGCTTCCTTTTTTCTTTCTATGCCAATGTGATTGTTTGTTTTCTATGTTTTGTGATCATTAGTGAAGTGCATGTATTGATTATATGCAATGTTGCCCATATTATCATTGTATTTTTTCGTTAAATGATACATTTATTGTTAATAGTAAATTTAATTTTCTTGTGTTTTGCTTCAATTGGTTCTAATATAATGTTATTCTGTAATATTTCCTAATTCATTTAATGTTGAGGAAGTACTTTACAAGTTACATATAGGAATATGAATTCCTAGTGAATTCTATTTTTATATTTTTACCCTTTGTCTAAAATATCTCTCTATTTTTTGTATTTGCAGGTGTACGTAAAGAGCTCTTTGTTTCCACACTCTCCATCCTCCTGTCTCAGGTCTAATATAAATCATAACTTAAGCATTTTGTGAATAAGTTGCTCAACCGTTAGCTTATATTGATATAAGTAGTCTCTATTACTAGTTGTTCCATTTAATTGGCGCAACATTAGGATAATGTTGGCTTATAGTGATGCATAGCACGTAAGCTAACCTGCTATGAACATGGAATTATAAGCAGGAACTTGGACCTATGTATCAGATAGGATGTTGATTTGGTTTGTTGTCTTCAACATGTAAAGTAAGTTTTGGCATGCCCAGACGGTACATCAGTACACTGCATGTGCCTACAACATACTTTTTACCCTTTTACCCATCTAATTTTGTGATGTCAATTACCTTCTTCTGATGTTTAGCTGGATTGCTTAGTAATATTCTACACATTGAGCAAAGTTCCAGGAGAAATAGATGAGTTTTTCCCTTTTTGGTAATGTTTTCTTCTGCATGCTATATAAAGTTGTTCACATGTGAGTTTTTCCCTTTATGTTTGGAAATATGCTTACCATAGGTGGAAAGCTCGCTCGCAGGCCATTTTGAGTGTTGTAAGGAACCTTGGAGCTGACTTTTTCTGTCTACAGGTTTCCTTTTATGTTTTTTGTTATATTTTTCTGCTTTTCTTGAAAGGGGAGGTAAATAGTTTCTTTGCCATTTATATAACCTGTAGTTTTGAACAATATAAAATTCTTTCCAGGAAGTTGATGAGTATGACAGCTTTTACAAAGGAAATATGGAGAGCAATGGGTATTCTAGTACGTATATCCAGAGAAGTGGGCAAAAGCGTGACGGATGTGGAATTTTTTATAAACACGAAATGTAGGTTAAAAATCGACTCCTTTTCCTGGTTTAATGTGCATAATTTATATACTTATTAACTAGAATGAGCCATCAAGAAAAATATGAAAATAATAAAGAACAAGTATTTAACATCTAACAACACCAAGTAAGGAGCAAGTCTTAGCCTCTTCAAAGTGTTATTAGACATTGTGTTGGTAATCGGTGCTGGAAAATAACAAGGAGAAGGGTTCAATTTCAGGATAGATACTTGAGAACACAAAGTGGCTTGTTTAGCCCGTTGTTTGAGTAGTGGAGTGGGGAGATGTCCTTTGAAATACTTGTGGCTTCCACTAGGAGGTAATCACGGGTAGGTTGGGATCTGGTGGCAGAGAAAGTGAAAAAGATTATTGGAAGATTGTAAGAAAGAATTCCTCTCAAGAGGAGGTAGGTTGACTTTGATTGATTTGGTTTTAAGCTGCTTACTAACCTATTGGCACTGTGTTTTTTAAATTCCAGCACAAGTACCCAATAGAATAGAGCAATTGATGAGGGATTTGTGTGACAAGGTTTTGAGTAAGGTTTTGGTAAAGAGAAATAAGGTGGCGCTTGGAAAATGGCTAAGGACATTTCAGCTGGAGAGGTTTTTCTGTATGACATGATGTCATTAGACACAGTTATATGAGGTAGACAGGAATTTGAAGGATTCTAATCCAGTGGTACAAGTTTCATTTTATCACCCTTTGGAAAGACATTTAGCAAGGTCTGAACTTTTTTGTGTCTTGCTGTCTTTTTGGTGGTGGATAATGGAGTTTTTGGGACGAGAGTTGGCTGTGGAAACTTTGTTCATGACTTTTCAACGTCTCTACAGATTGGTAATATCGCAGTAATATAGCATAGTGTTCCTATAGTTAGAATGTGGTCAGTTTGTTCCTTCCTTTATAACGGGATTTAGGTCTCCACAGAAACTTGAGAGTGAATTTCAACTTGCAAAGGCCACTTCTTTGCCCCCAGTGACGTATCATGTGCAGAGGAGTTCAAATTTTTGGGTAGTGTGATTGGAAAGGAACAAAAGGATTTTAAAGATTTTAGAGGGGAGCAGAACTAGGCTCCCGACTGCATTTTGGTCTTCGATTGCTTCTGAGTCTTGGGAAATTTCATTTCTTTTCGTTGCTACCTTTGCAGATTGGAAAGCTGTTCTTGTCTAGATATTATGGTTTTTGTTGTATGTTAGCTAGAGCTTGATCCGTTAGTTAGTTGCTTGTATTTAGTGGATACCCTATCCACACAATTTTAGTTGTTTTCTTTGTTTAATAGAGTTTTGTTTCTTATCGAAATTAAAAACTTTAATCCGAAGCGACTAAACCGTCCCGTTCATGTCATGGACTCGTATGAAATGGCAAAACCCATAGCATTGTCTCTCCATTGCCATATGGATATTGGGACAAATTTGGATAATTTCTTTCCAACTTTTTTTAAACTTTGCAGCAGAGCGTTACCTATTTAAATCTATTTCAAATTTAAATGTACGGCTATCTTAATTGTGCCGGATTGTCCTTCATCCTTCAGGGCAGATTTGGTGTTAGAGGAGAAAATAGAATACAATGATCTTGTAAACTCAATTAAAGATGGAAATATACCCGGTGATGATAAACCAAATGATAAGGAAGCCACAGGAAATGAAGATGCCGGATCCAAAAATGGTAACTTCCATGCTGTTTTATTATCTAATCCGTTGCTGACTTCATGTTGTTAATGGTGTACCGTCTCAAATGTTTAAAATGTTAGAATCTTGATTTATGTTAATGCATAGCTGTCTTTAATTTCGAGTATTTAGAGGAATTCCTTCATTTGCAACTTTATCTATGTTCTTATTGTTGGTGACATTTTAAATACTTTTTCCCATCTGCTGTGTGTGTTTTTTCTATTGGTGTTATTAATCTTGATCATAGCTTCCTTATGTCTTAATACAGTTTTCTCCACAGAAGTAAAGATGTGGTTGACTGACATTTTCTTCACTCTCTTCAGGTTCAACAGTAGAGACCACTCAGGATCGTGGAGATCCTAATGATCCTCGTGTCAGACTAAAACGTGATTGTGTTGGAATTATGGCAGCATTCAAGTTAAAACATCCTTGTAATCATTTTGTTATTGTGGCAAACACACATCTTTACTGGTAAAGTTGTATGTTATTATATTGTTAGTTTCCTACTATTTTATGCGGTGTTGTGTTTATGCTTCTTGCCTATAGACATGGGGTTTATATTTTATTTGTTGTTGTAAATTGTTAAGGACATTGATGTTTATGCTTCAGGGATCCCAGCTGGGTTGATGTTAAGCTTGCACAAGCTAAATATCTTGTATCGCGTTTGGCTCAATTTAAAACATTAGTATCCGACAGATTTGAGTGCACTCCTTCATTGATTGTGGCTGGTGACTTCAATTCAGTTCCCGGGGATAAGGTCTGATGCCCTCAAATTTCTTAATATTCACCTACTTTACTCTTGTACTGGTTTGGTTTGCATTGTTTCTGATTCTTCAGGTTTTGTCTTAGTCCACGAGGGGACCTGGTCCTGGTGTATGCAAAATACTTCCCCCAGTTCTAACTTCTCTTGTATTCCAGGTTTACCAGTACCTTATTTCAGGCAACACTTCATCTGCACCAACAATGGATATTCTAGAAGATTTGCCTATTCCCTTGTGCAGCACCTACGCTTATACACGAGGTGAACCGCAATTTACAAATTGCACCCCTGGATTCACTGGTACGCTTGATTATATTTTCTTTTCCCCTTCTGACCACATAAAACCAGTCAGTTTTCTTGAGCTTCCGGGACCGGATTCCTCTGATGTGGATGGTGGATTACCAAACCTCTTTCACCCAAGTGATCATTTACCAGTTGGTGTGGAATTTGAGATATCCAGAGAATAGATTTCTTTTCTGACAAAAAAAAAAAAAAAAAAAAAAAAACAATAAATTACTTGATACGGAAAGCAACATTTGGGTCCCTTAACTAAAAATTTTTGTTTTGCATTTATAGGTGTATGCTTCTTATTTTCTAAACCTCGTGATGTATAACTAACACTGAACTGAACATTTCATCGCTTAAGAGGGAAAGAGAAACGATTGGAGACTGATTGGTTTCGGCTACGCATAGGAGTTGGGCGGCCATGATAGGTTAGCTGGATTGATTAGTGTTATGAAGTGAATGGAAGAAAGTTATAATGTCTTAGTTACGTACAAGGTGGCTGAATGGGTGGTGGGGAAGATTGAAGATTGAAGACTGAGGACTAAGAATTGAATGTCAAGCTTATAGCGCGAGCTTGTAATTAAGCAAGGCATTAAAGTGATTCAGGTTAGACGTTCACTTCCAATGGGCGGTGGGCAAATATCAGCTTGAGAAAGGAGTAGCAAATGAACGTAGATCCATTCTATTGCTTTCATGCTGTGTTGATGAATGAAATCTGACTTAACATATGATTTTTGTGAGATCAAATTGGACCACCAAGTCTCTGCATTTAATAATATGTCACCGCCAACCAGAAATATGTTACAACTTTTCTTAGAGTGAAGGAGTAGCTGAAATGGAGAGTATAATTTTTGATAACTTGTATAGAATTAGTATTTACGGTGATGGTGTTGAATTTAGGGTCTGTAGACCTATCCTCATGGTCGTCATCGGCTTCGACGGACGGCGGTGGTGGTGTTGAATTTAGGGTCTGTAGACCTATCTATTAGGATTCTATTTTAAGTTTACAAAATCACATTCCTAATTGATAATTCTATTCACAATACTTTTCGATATATATTAGCAAAAATTGTCCACGTGATGCTGCGAGTTTCAAATGCAACTAGTTCTTGCGATTAGTAAATATGGTCGATAAGTTGTCAATAGTCAAGAAACACGTTGGCCAGGATGGTCAAATTTTATCAGATTACTCCAAATGACTTCAACTTCTTCAAAGGTTTGCTTCTAGACTCTTACCAATCACTCAATAGATTTGTTAATTGGCCCTAAACTCAATATAAAAAAAAATATTAGCCAACTCTAATTAACAATAGCTAATCAAACTACAAAAACAACATGGTGAGTTTTAACTGTGTTCAAACATCCGAATCAACAAATTCAAAGGTCTTGATATGCATTATTACCCAAAAGGCATCCATTACATTTTAATAAAAATTTCCCTAATGGACTTCAGTTCACATACAATTTGAAAGATCAAATTCAAACATTGAAGCACTCAAGCAATTTAGATAATGCTTGAAAGATGAAATTCAAACACTAAAAGCATTCTGCAACTGAATCACATGAGTCGCATTAGGTCCTTACCAACCAAAACTTTATCGCAGCCAAACACTAGGTCCTTTCCATTAGTTAAGTAGATTTTACATAGCTGCATTATCATTGAAATTAGGGAAATAAATCAGTAATCTTAAATTTTTTCAGGAACACAATTATATTTCCCTATTTGCTTGTTTTCCTTGCATAAAAAATTATAAGCATAGAGGGGAAAGGATATTTCCCAACAGATAATGCAAAAACCAATAATAAAGTTTTGTATATAAATTTTGTGGTTAATCAAACCTTGAATATCATACAGCAAACATGGCTCTGCGAGGAGCCCACTTCAAGCACGATGGAACTCTGATGGGAATGTCCCATCATGCCACCTATAGAAAATACCAATTGATAAGAGTCAATATTCGATAAGTTTATCTCACAGTTATTTGATTTAAACCTATTCTTTTCATATGGTTCATCACATAAGTGGTTTCTGAGAAATCCATGCAACCAAGATATTGGCAGGATTCGGAGATAAATCGTGAAACGCTATGCAATTCAATGACAACTGAAAGGGAAGTAGGAGTACTGGTGATATTAGGATACAATCAGAAAAACATTGAAATGTTTAGCTTTTAGTCTAACACTCCTTTTCTTCTTTAGAGAAGAGAGGCAGGGGAAGGCAATAGGGACAGTGACAAGATTTTCTATAAACTAGATTTGTGAATGAATGTTGGGTTGGGCCACTTCGCAACAGTCGCTTACTCTACTCCATATTTGTGAATGAATGTTGGGTTGAACAACCAGTCACGGATATCCCATATCAAATCCAAATAAAAGGAATAAACAACTTAAAAAGTAACAATATTGCTACTTGGTAGTCTTCCTACATGATCTAAGAATATAATCAATTAAATAGATATAGGATCACATTGACCATAAAGTATTACCTGCAACTCAAAAACTAAAAATAATAGAGACTTGGCGGAAAACTCGAAATCCCTCACCAAAAAATACTCAATATTACGAAATTAGATCACCAGGTTTCATGGCATATTGTTTTTCGTTTAAGAAAACCTTCTTGCAGTTTGTTGTACAAAAAATCCTACTTGAAGTAAAAATTAATAGTAGTAAGTCATAGCAACATAAAGTATAATCAGTAAATTATATTCAACAGAACATAAAACACAATTTGACTAATAAACATTTAACTCAATAAATTCATTACCACATCAAACTTAAGAGTGCAACAAGTCTAAATGTGTCAAAACCTGAAGGGAAATCTAAGAGATTAATATGGGATTTCGAAATGACTAGCATGCATATACAATTCAAAATTAATATACATAAGCAACGGAAGCATGTTATCAAATAATATCAAAGCTATAGTCATGCAAATCCCCTTCAAGGTTCATAGGTTTATATATAATGCATCTAAAACATTTAAGTTAAGAACAAAGTGAAGGAATAGATCTATACCTCTTGATCTAGATTTTAGACCAAGGATGGACCACCTCCAAGCCCTTTGCTCCTTCAACTCCTTGAGCCTAGCCTCCCTCCTTGCCTCCTCCACTTTGTTGGTAAGAGTGCTCCTAGGTTCTCCTTTAGTCTCCAAAGGAGAAGACCTCTAAAGATCCACACCCACTAGTGTAGTGAGATGGATGGAGGAATAACCAAAAGAGTGAAAAAGGATTAGCTAAATCACCCTTAAGGTGGCCGGCCTTTGTGTAGTTTTAGAGAGATATTTTCTTTGCCTCTTTTGTTGTTTTAAACACACAAAAACCCTAAGGAATAAATCTCTATAAAGTTCCTTATATAGACAAAAAGAAACCTAGTCAACAACTTGACTTAATATCTCTCCCTCTCCACTTTAAATGGCCGGCCCCTTTGTGTTGGTTTGGGCTTTGGACTTTTATTTATTTCTAGTCATCCAATGCTTGAATAAAAGCCAATGGGTTTAGGCCCAATGGGCCCAATTAAACCCGAACGTTTCTTTAAGCCCAAAACGATATTTTATCGCTTTTATGATTTCTTTAGACTTTCTAAATTAATCACAACACTTAATTAATCCAATTAATTATTTCCATCATCCATTAATTACTCACCATAAGAGTGTATCGGTGTACAATCATTTTAGGTTCTAATTAGCAAGGTAGTGAGGTGATTGACATCAATCCAATTGATTATATTTAATTCAATCACTTAGTGAATTAAAACTTCCTTTTAATTCACCTTCTTCTTTGATGACTACATTTAATCATCTAGAAGAACTCACAAGCTATGAGTGACATCTAACCATATATCATAGCTACCCAAGCTAATGTAGAAGTTGTTCGGAGACCTATTCAGTTGGAATTACAATGTAATTCGATCATTCTCTAAAACAATACTCTCAATCACATTACTAGGGTATGGATATATTATGTCAAACCCCTAATGTGATTATTCCTTCTTATATGATTCAATTGAGTCGTATAGGAATGCTTTCCTTTATTACGCTCGATACTTCGGCCGAAGATTCCCGAATCATATCTTAGAGTATTCTTCCTCTCTTATCGAGGATTAGAGATTCCTTGTTGCGCATTCACTTGCCTTCATGACTAAGTGGCTTAACCCCAATTATGCCGTGGACACCCGCGAATAGGGTGACTTTGACATAATCAAAGATTAAGTACTTAGCCACAAGACAACGACGATGTCTCAGGTCAAAGGACTACTTACATTATTCCAACCATTAGAGTTACTTGCTTGACATGTGAGTAGACCTCCATGCAAGTACTCTCGTTCGATTGTGTTCAGTGAACTCATTCCCTTAATGAGCACCTACATACTTGTCTTAGTGTCACCACACGAATGGGATGAGACATTCCATCCTTCCATTCGAAGCAGACACAGTATGTACCGGTCTAAGCATTGTTAGTATCCCTCCGACAATCCAATGACCAGGAACCTTTTTGGACATTATGGTTATGTGAAGAAGGTCTCTGTAGTCTAACATCATTAGATTACTTCTTCAATCGATCAATTGTCCATGGATCACTATTTAGGACATATATCGTTTATTGAGATAGTCCTAATTAGTATCTTTGCCATTTGATGTATAAGAATCATATATACATCCATTCATTTGTCCTGAAAGGTTTCTTCCAAAGATTGACAACCTTCTCCATATTCAACTTCAATTGCCTGAAAATACCGAAAAGCGGAGCAAAAACATAATTTCATCAAAATTGCTTACCCAAGGATAAGTTAAAAATAGAAAATAATCAAAACCTTCTCCATATTCTCTGTGTTTGTCCCAGTAACTTGGGAGAAAAAAAATGGGGTGTTTGATTGAAAACCAGAAGTCTTTGAAGAGAGATAGAGAGATTACATGCCTCATCAAGCATGGATAAGAAGCAAGCTGAAGAGGTGGCAGTGATACTCGATTATGCCCAAACTCACACAACACGCATACGGTACTCATAAGAATACATAATTTGTATTGGTAGTTAGTAATACCAATAAAAACAAAAAACAAAAAAAAACAAAAAACTTAAATTTTAATAAATAAAAAATCAAGCTACAGAAACAGTGGGCTGTTTTATAGCTAATTAGTTCCACCACCTGAGTTCCTTTACAACAAAAATTAACAAAACCTTAAAAAGATATAAAAGAAAATTAACAGAAAATTCACACTTCAAAGGATATCAAAAAACCAGCCCCTCTGAAGAAGAAAGATGCAAACGAAATATAACAATATAAACATAAATTAAATATAACAAATAAAACCAACAATAATCAGCAAACAAAAACCTAAACATTCAGATTTTTCAGATGAAACCCAATTTCCACAAAATAAATTCAAAATCCCATCAGAGAAAATTGCCCTTCTCAACCCATCATCCCCACCGTTCGATTTTAAGCTTTGGTGGGTAGAATAGTCATTAAATTTACTGAGGGCTGGGCTTTTACCGAAAACCAACGAAGCCCATGCAAAAACCGGGGGCAGCCCAAACCCCAACCCAGCCACAGATTTGGTGGTAGTAGGGTAAATCAGGCAAAATCAACAGACAAAAATTTGATTGTAGCTAAGCTACAGTCAGTTTTAGAATAGATAATTTACTCCCTTTACGTTATCATATTACCCTCGTGTACTTAAGAATCATTTAAATTTTTAAAGAAAAAAATTATAATAAAAAAATAAAATAAAATAAAATAATAGAGAATTAATCTTATAAGTTATAACCAAGGAATTAAATATCGATATTATCGGCGAAATATCGCCGATAATATCGTTTTTTTGACCCGGCGATATTTTTTTTAGTAAAAATAAAATATCTTTAAAATATCGCGATAATATCGCTAATATCGCGATATTACCGATATTAGCGATATTATCGCGATATTCGTCGTCGTCGCCGCCGCCGGGAGGTGAGAAAGGGATCCAGAAACCAGATCGAAGAAGATGGATCCAGAAACCAGATCGAAGAAGAAGGATCCAGAAACCAGATCGAGGGAGAGACGAAGACGGAGAGACCGAGGGAGAGACGGAGACGGAGAGACCGAGGCAGAGATGGAGACGGAGAGACCGAGGAGAGACGGAGAGACGGAGAGGACCGAGGCAGAGACGGAGACGGAGAGACGGAGACGGAGAGACCGAGGCAGAGACAGAGACGTAGAGACGGAGATGGCGATGAGGTGGTGTCGCCGTTGATGTGGTGTGGAAGTGAGGGTGTGGGTTGTTCACGAGGAGAAGGAGAGAGTGCAGAGATGCAGAGACTGCAGAGAGTGCAGAGAGGGCGAAGAGGGAGAATGAGGGTTGTTCACGGGGAGAAGGAGAGAGTGCAGAGAGTGCAGAGAGCGATGAGGAGGTGTCGCCGTTGAAGTGGTGTGGAAGTGAGGGTGTGGCGTGTGGGTTGGTTCACGGGGAGAAGGAGAGAGTGCAGAGAGAGAGCACGGTAGAGATGAGAGAGTGAGGGAAAAGAGAGATCTGAGAGAAAAGAGAGACGGGGACACAAAAGCAAGGTGGGCCCCCTGGGCACACCTATTAAGATCTAAAAATAATTTTAAAAGCAAGATAAACTCAAACTTAGTGAAAATACAATTTAAATTGGGGTGTGTGTAACAATCTACCCCTCTTAAAAGAATTTCGTCTCCGAAATTTAAAATCACTTACTAAACTGAAATACTAGAAAATAGGAAGAGAAGAATATATGTATAAAGAGAAATCAAGTCCAAATAATTACATCATATTTAAAATTTGATTAATTTTTTTTAGTTACATATATTCTATATGATAAATTTCTATTTTAAATCAAGTCCAAATAATTATATCATATATTAAAAATTTGATTATTTTTTTTTTCAGTTACATATATTCTATATGATAAATTTCTATTTTAAAATCAAGTCCAAATAATTACATCATATCTAAAATTTGATTAATTTCTTTTCAAGTATCTACTTTTGAACTACTCACCACGTTCACTCTATGTGATACTAAGTCACTCAT